CCCCAGGTGGACAGTGTGGGAAAATACCCCACTATTGCCCGGAAAGGATAGGAACACCTGGAATTGACTACAATTCAATACAATAGAAATTTATTGCGTAAGACGCTTAGCTAGGAGGTGTGACATTGTATGAAATGTAAAATGACACGCCAACTAATTTACAGGTATTTCACATAAATGACCGATGCATTACAACTTCACGTGAGATAGTTCTCACCACAAGGCGTTGCGCCGTGATATTGAGTAAGAGAAGTGGTACCATGGTTATTGAACATCCACTTAACTGCTTACTGTTGTCATTTCTATGTTTAGGAATATCGAGAAATTCTCCCTTCATTGAGTGGTCGAGAAGTGACGGTCATTGAAGAAATAAGGAAGCGTGTAGCGTAAAACACAAGCCGTGAGTCAGCGCTTTCGTCACTTCCTGCGTAGCAGGTAATATTATCGCGTGACAAGTGGAGAGGTGTGCGATCGGGAGATCAGAGGAGAGGATTTCACACACGCGTTATGTAGCACTAGCTTATGTACCTTTGCTGTTTTCTGTTGTCTGTGCGAAGAACAAACATGCGCACATTTTGAAAACTTTTGCATCTTGGTCATTATTTCGTCTGATATTATTGTGTGATTATATTACGTTTGTTATATCAATGCCTGTAGTTGATTGAAGCATGCCGTACAGTGAAAAAAAAAACGTACTAAACTTGAGGCTATAAATTCCTAATTAGTTTTATGATAACAGAAAATCGCTCTTATTTTTAGAGAAATTCAGTGGACTGTTTTCATCCTGAACTAGTCTAATTCAGCGTATACGTACATAGACATGGCAAAATGCTTTGTATACTAGTCTTTTCATAACAAAAGCCGCTATACATACTTTTTCCTTACTGCAATCATGTTGACTGTTCTTCGTGTGTGACTGATATCGTAGCGTTAATATTGACATGCCCAAGAGAAAATGGTTCATTTGCGTAAATGGCACGTGAGAAGAGAACAACGTTTGGCGTGGAACGCCGATGATTGTCAAAAACATCACGAGCATTCAAACGTCTTTTTTTTTCTTTTTTTTTTTTCAGCCTCTATCATGCCCGAAGCTATCTATTTATTTAAAGTTATTTTGATTGTATTCGATGTTTGACAGTTTTTTTTTATACATTTATGGAGCGAATATTCCAAGTTCAAGTGCTAACAACTGTATTGGTGTAAAATAGTTTCAGAGAAGCTTTTCACTGCCAACAGGCGCTCAAAAGAAATAACTTCCGGTGCCAAAAATAGCATATTGACGTATTTAGGGAATCGTCATTTAAATTTGGAACTTCAAATATACATGGCAAGCCACAGGCCTTAGCAACCGAAATATGGAGGATAATTCGTCGCCCAACTGACCAGAAGGCTATTGTCTGAGGCTTCTGTCTGAGGCGTAGACCGTTGGCAGTTTAACGCGACCATATGAACACCCTTTAATAGTTTCCCACTAGCCTCGTCCAGGCTTTCGGAACGAAATAATGAGAGAGAGGCTTGGTGCGAGGAAAAACTTCTCCCCTATTTTCATCCCTCTGAACTAAACCGCTAATTCAGTGCAAACATAGACATGGCAAAACATTTCCTACACTAGTCTTTTTTTGAATAATAAAAGCTTCCATATACTTTTTCCATACGTCAATGATTGGCGTGTCTCCATGTAAGGCTGATATATCTGATAGATATCATAGCATTAATATTGATTTGCCTAAGAACTAAAATAGTTCTAAATTTAGCTATAGTGTGAAGCGATAGTCTCTCGGTGTGAAGCGATTACTATAAAAAATAATAAGTAAATATCTTGCTGCAGTTAATTTGACCGCTTTCTAGCGAAAACGCCTATCATACACGAAACTATCTGTTCATTTTGAAAATAAGTTATTTTCATTGTATTAGCTGGGTTTTTATTTTTAATTTTTATGTACAGCGAACATTTCAAGTTCAAGTAATATTAGAACTTTTCACTGGGAGTTATTTTGAAGTCAAAAGAAATTATTTTCGCTGCCAAAAATAGCACACTGACGTTGTTACGGCATTGACGCCATTTAATTTCATCTTTCTCCAAGTAAGACTCCACTAGCGGCCACCTCCCTACGACGGCGACCTCTCTACAACGGCCACCTCCCTACAACGGCCACCTCCGACGGCCACCTCCCTACAACGGCCACCTCCCTACAACGACCACCTCCCTACAACGGCCACCTCCGACGGCCACCTCACTACAACGGCCACCTCCCTACAACGACCACCTACAATTCGATGTCCTCTTGCATTTCTTGACCGTGTTATCTCGTTTAAGATTGGCAAAATGGCCACCGATGTTTTGGAATACAATGATATTCACCTTCTTGTGAGGGGAGCTTTGGTAAGTACACACATACTTGTTTCATCACGTCTCAAATTTGTACGTTCTTTCTTTGAGCATTCGCTTTTGATTTGCTGCGCGTGAAATGTGTGCTTATTTGAGCTTATTTCCAAACCTAATTGTAGATACTTATGACGCTGAAAATGGAAGCCTAGTTTTCTCTACTACTTCTGCTAGGCTTAAATGTACGAAAGTAGTAGATATATATTTTAAAGAGCCTCAATTAGGCAAACATAAGGCAACTAAAGCTTCGTACATGTGTTTGCAGACAGTGACTATAAGCTTAATTCTGCAAACCTGGACATTCAGTGATCGAGCATTAAATGTTTAGTTAGTTTCGTCGTCAAAATGTGTCGGCCACCAAGACCTTTTGCTGGGACTTAGTGAGAGGCCAGTAATGAGAGGTTTGATAGTATAACATGCTGGTGAACAATAACATCTCAGTCTACATGTTGATCTATAGTGGACCAACAGGTGACCAATATAGCTTGTGCATAAGTCGCTGTTATGTCCAGTGGAGACATGGTTGACATAGGCATATGCATAAGTGAAAGACTTTCAGCGATCAGCATGTATTTTGTGCTTATGCCAACCATGTCCCCATTGGACATAACACCAACATAAGCAAGATTATAAGAAAAAAGCTTATGCTTATCTCCCCACTAGAGCATAAGATCAATTCAAGATTGCATGTGAGAGCAGTAGATATGTTGTTCACCATATCAACTGATATGTTAAGTGCCTTTGAACTGATGAAAAACCACTAAGACAGCATTGGTGTCAACTAGATATCTGTTGACTTTTGGTGAAGTACCAATCAGATATTGATCAACCCATTAATCTTCACCCCCTTCACCCTTCACCTTCAGAAGACCAACTGTAAGATATCAGAGTGCAAGAGAGGGGTTTCCACTGACATGCCTTTGTTCTTTGCAGCATGATGGTCGCTTGAAGTTACACAAAGGTGGGGTGATATTTAAAGCTAACAAAACAGGAAAGCTTGACCAAGCTGCAGTTGCCGACATAGAATCAACTCAATGGATGAGAGTAGCAAGAGGCTTTGAATTGAATGTTGCTTTGACAAATGGATCACAGTTCAAGTTTGAAGGCTTTAAAGAGGGTGTAAGTCCAACTTTTCTTTGTTATTATAAGTGTTTTTACTCCCTTTATCACTAGCACATTAGAGGGTATTTCTCTTTTTCTCACACACAACTGGGAGCCATGCCAAGCCGAACCACGTGGCCTGACCTTTATTACAAGATGTTAATTAAAGTAGTACAAGAAAGTGACCATGAGATTGAGGGGTGTAATACTAATAATGTATAACATTTTTTATAATGAGATGGTGTATAATTCTAATTTTACAGTGTATATATGGATTTTTGTGTTTTGTTATACAATAGAGGTCTGGATGTCACAGTTTGTTTTTCACCACTTATCCACTGGATAGCATTAATGTGATGAATAATGTTATCCACTTCTGAATAACTAAGGCCAGCTAATGTACAATTTGTGCCATATTCACGGTGTGTTTAATAGTGTTATAAACCTTTCTTTTATCCTTTCATAGGACTACGACCAACTTGCTGCATTTTTAAAGAAACATTTCCAAATGAATTTGGAAGAGATTGAACTCTCAGTCAAGGGCTGGAACTGGGGTGTTGCTAAATTCAAAGGTTAGTTGTAAAACTTGTCATATTTATTTTTCGAACCCTGAACATTTGACATTTTGTAAATTGTTTTTGTGGCAATAGAATGAGGGCTCTTTATATTAAGGAGAGTTTTTAGCACTTTTGCACCAGTTGTAAAAACCCTAATCTTGTTCATGGCAGAAGCAACAAAAACAACTGCTTGCAGCACAACAGCCATTTCCAGGTCTCAGCAGTGTGCAAGAAAAACATTTTCCACTTATTTTGTTTCACTCAGCTCGTGGAAAATAACATTTCATTGTATTATTCCAGGTTCATCCCTCTCTTTTGAAGTCGATGAGAAGCCAGCATTTATAGTCCCTCTTAAGGATGTATCCCAAGCAACCACAGGTCGGTCTGTCATTTTATTGTTTTTTATCGTTACTTCTGTCAGATCTGGGGAAATGGAACTGTCATTAACTGGCAGTGAAGCACTGTCTTGAGAAGTTCAGTAGGAATAATTACACATGCCCAAAAGAGTGTAACAGGCTCTTAAATATTAACTGAATAGTTCTTATAACCAGTCACTGTTCGTAAGCAGTTGACTCTTCATTAATCAAGCCAAAAACACTTCCCAAATGGTAACATGAGAATTTCTAAATGACACAAACCTCTCAGAAAAACACAACAACTGTTCACAAAAAAACTGTCAAAATGTCAAAATTGAGCAACACATACGCATGATAATCATACGTGCAACTTAAAGTAACAATGTCTCTGAGGTCACGTGCCCTGTTAGTACGCCATGCCATGTCGGTAACTGTCTCCTCAACAGTCACTGACAAAAACTTTTGTATGTATTTTCAAATTTCATTTACATGAAATTTTCCCCAAGCAAATGTTGGATACTTTATGTGGATAACCTAATGAACAAAATTGAGAATTAAGACATTTGACAGACTGTAATGCAACTTTACTGAGTAGACTGTTTTCCAACAGGCAAAAATGAAGTTACTCTGGAGTTTCACCAACATGATGATGCACAAATCTGTTTGATGGAGATGAGATTTTATATCCCAGCTACATCAGATAATGCAGCAGAGGATCCAGTCAAAGTATGTACTATAATTGATATTTTAACAGATAGCAATATATAGAAAAGCAGTTAACATGCACAAAGTATATCATGCAGTTAGGTTGGAGGGACTAAATTATAGACCAAATAGTTAATGATACTGTATTCAAATGGAGGGCATTTGCATTTTTTGCAACCAGCAAGCCTTCTTTAACTGCAAAGATATGACAAAACAGCTCTCTGATGGAAGTTGTTTGCATAAAAATTTACCTTTTTTGAAAGAAGCAATTCTTCTTTTGCAATGATTGTTGTAATCATAAAACAGGGATCCATGTTGGCGGTCATTGTTTGCTCTGCTTTGTCATTTGTCTGTTGTTATCCTGCCAATGTATGATTTATTAAAAATTGAGAATGTCATTAGTTGAAAAAGTTGTCATTTTAAGTAAAATCAGTGTTTATCTCGGTGTTTATGTACAATATTGGTTAATTTTCCATAACAACCTTTCAGAATCACTTTTGGAAAAATAGTCTTTCTTTATCTTTTGTGGTGAATGTTTGATTATGTTAGTGTTATTTTCTTGTCTTTAGAATTTTCATGAGCAGGTTCTGGAGAAAGCAGACATTATTCAAGCAACAGGAGATGCTATCGTTACAATACCAGACGTGGCATGTCTCACTCCAAGGTAAATTCCTTTTCACCATATAAACTTGGTTATGAAAATGGCAATGCCTGTCTACATAGCTTGATGTAATTTACACAAGTTCTAGAGAAATTTTGATATCTAATCTTTCCAAACTCACTTTTGTGTTGTTTGAGCTTACCACTGCAGAAAATTCATTAGCAAAAAAACAAAGACTAGACTAGAAAACAAAGTCTGAGTCAACGAGGGTGTTTAACCTTTTCTTAGCTACATCCTTGTTTGCATCAGTCTATTTGCTATGTAAACACAACAAATCTGTTTCCTTAAGATGTACTTGAGAGAAATTATTCCTCAGGCTGTCTCAGCTGGACTGACTAACTTCCAATAGTTTTTAGGTTTCATTGGATTTTGTTTTTAATTACCTTTTTAGGGGTCGATACTCCATGAAAGTGTTCCCTTCATTTCTCCAACTTCATGGCAAAACATACGACTACAAGATTCCCTACACATCAGTGTTAAGGCTTTTCCTTCTTCCACACAAAGACCAAAGGTTTATGTTTTTTGTGGTAAGTATAAAATGCATGCAAGCAATAATAATTTTTATCCAGACTTTTGCATCCTTTGAAGTCCTATGATGCTAGATAATATACATACCAGTAATAATTTATTATAATGTATTAATTTATAATTACATTAAGTTTTAAAATATACCTAGACGTAATGCTCGAATAATTTTGACCGGTCACATTGTAGGTTAGTATGGATCCACCCATCAAGCAAGGACAGACAAGATACCCATTCTTAATCATACAGTTTGGAAAGGATGACGAGTTTGATGTGAAACTTAATTTGTCAGAGTAAGTGAATTAAGACAGGAAGGATGTGTCTTGCTTTTTTTTAAGTGTATATGACAAATATATATATTTTTGGTTTATGGAATCTACACAAGATTGCAATATGGAAATCGAAAATAAAGAGGATACTGGATAATGGATATCACCACGTTTTAGCCATCCGAAAACGTGAAATTTCACGTAGGTTGATTCTGTCAGAAACTGCGTGGAATAGGACCTGTTACTAGCAGGGCTGTGACGCTAAAACAAGAATGTAGGTCTACATATCTTTCATAAATGTTTACAATTTTGAATCAAACCTGGAATTATGCTTGATTGCCTAATAATTTCCTAAATGTATATTTTAATTACTTTTTTCGTTTTCTAGTTGTGTGTTTCGAAAAATGTGTCAACCTATGTTCTTGTTTTGATGTCACAGCCTGACTAAGCCCAGACCTGCACCTCACACAGTTTCTGACTAACCAGGAGTGAAATTTCCCATTTTCAGATGGCTAAAACGTGGTGGAGAAACAATGATGTC